GCAAAGTTGATATATATGAGGGAATTTTGATATATAAAAATTTATAAAAATTTATCTTGTGACTTAACGTAGGTTGATATTAATGAAGGTCATGTGTACTTTTAATTATCAATTAATTATCAATTATAACCCTAAATCCTAAAAAAAGCGAAAAAAAACACCCCAAATTTTTTTTTTAAATTTTCATATAAAAATAGGCCCAGATTTCAGTTTCAGCTACCACATTTATTTTTAACAAATAAATGAATATGAAAAAGGAGTATCATAAAATTCGTGTGACTATTATGTAGTACGTACTCATGTACATATCTGATATTCCAATAAATCAATTTCCTTGTCGTTAAAAATGTCAAATAAAGAAAAAGTCATGGAAAACATTTACAACAACCCGTTTGCAAAACAATCTGAAAAAGCCACTAGTCCATCAGAAAACCTTAATAAAATCAATAGCAATGTTAATAATAAATTACTTTCTTATGCGATCGTTAAGGAATTGTGCGATTTGTATAATGAAAAATGCAAGAAAAGTGAAGATACAAAATCAATTCTTGACATAATAGAACAATTCTTAATAAAAAAGAATCTAAACCCAGATAATATAATAAATTGGTGCTTTGAGTATCAATCCAATCCTACGCTCCAAAACATACTTGCAATCTGTTATCTTTTTGGTAAATGGGTGGAAAAAAATGAAAGTATAACATTTAACTGCTATCAAAAGTCTGCTAACATGGAAGATGCAAGTGGAATTTTTAACCTAGGAAAATGTTATCTAAATGGAGTTGGTGTTGAAAAAGATGAAGATGTGGCATTTTTTTTATTATCAAAAGTCTGCGGAAATGGGTCATGCTAGTGGAATGTATCAAGTCGCTATTTGCTATGAAGACGGAATCGGTGTTGAAAAGGATGAAAATATGGCATTCATTTATTATCAAAAATCGGCTGAGATGGGTCTTGCTGATGGAATATATATGGTTGGTTGTTGTTATGAAGATGGAATTGGTGTTGAAATTGATGAAAATAAGGCATTCATTTTTTATCAAAAATCTACAGAGTTGGAAAACGCAAATGGTGTATTTAATCTCGGACAATGTTATCAAAATGGAATCGGAATAGAAAAAAATGAATATATGGCATTCATTTATTATCAAAAATCTGCTGAAATGGGGCTTGCTGATGGAATGTATATGGTTGCTTGTTGTTATGAAGATGGAATTGGAGTTGAAATTGATAAACATAAGGCATTCTTTCATTATCAAAAATCTGCAGAGATGGGAAGTGCTGATGGAATGTATATGGTTGGCTGTTGTTATGAAGATGGAATTGGTGTTGAAATTGATGAACATAGAGCATTCTTTTATTATCAAAAATCTTCTGAGATGGGAAATGCTGATGGAATGTTTCAAGTCGGAATTTATTATGATGATGGAATTGGGGTTGAAATGAATAAAAATAAAGCATTCACTTATTATCAGAAATCTGCCGATATGGAACATGCCGGTGGAATGAACAATCTTGGGCATTGTTATCATAATGGAATTGGGGTTAAAAAAGATGAAAACAAGGCATTCATTTATTATCAAAAATCTGCTGAAATGGGGCATTCAGATGCTGTATTAAGCCTTGGTGATTGTTATAAATACGGAAGTGGTGTTGAAAAGGATGAACATAAAGCATTCTTTTATTATCAAAAATTCGTTGAGATGGGAAATAAAGGCGGGGAATTTAGACTTGGTTGTTGTTTTGAGGAGGGTATTGGTACTGAAAAAGACAAACAAAAGGCATTCATTTATTATCAAAAATCTGCTGATATGGATGATTGTGATGGGATAAATGCACTTGGTAACTGTTATCGTCACGGAATTGGAGTTGAAAAGGATGAACATAAAGCATTCATTTATTATCAAAAATCTGCTGATATGGGAGATTCTAATGGGATAAATGCACTTGGTAATTGTTATCGTCACGGAATTGGAGTTGAAAAGGATGAACATAAAGCTTATTTTTATTACAAAAAATCTGCCGAAATGGAGAATCCTTCTGGAATATATAATCTTGCAGGTTGTTACGAAGAAGGGTTTGGGGTTGAGAAAGACGAACATAAAGCATTTATTCATTTTCAAAAATCTGCAGATATGGGGCATGCTGATGGAATGAATGAACTTGGATATTATTATCGTAACGGAATTGGTGTTGAAAGGAATGAAGATGTTGCATTCATTCATTATCAAAAATCGGCTGAAATGAGAAATGCAAAAGGAATTTGTAATGTTGGTTATTGTTATCAATTTGGAATTGGAACTGAAAAGGATGAACGTAAGGCATTTCTACATTATAAACAATCTGCTGAAATGGGAGATGTCACTGGAATATCGCACCTTGGTGATTGTTACCGAAATGGGATTGGGACAGCCATGGACATTCAAAAAGCAGATTATTGGTATCAAATGTAAGAACAATTTTTTTCAATGCGTTTAATTATATAATAAACTCTCACATTTAAATATATAATTAGGGAAAACAATATAACTCAAGGTACTGTAATTTTATTTAATTTTAACAGTCAGAAATTTATTACTGTGTAATTTAATATTTTATTATTAGTCACAAATGATTGGGTACATGACAACCGCGATATTGATGATGATTTGAAAAGGATGCTGATCGAAAATGAATACCAATTATCATGGATACCTTATAATGAATTTAAAAATATTGAAGAGATAGGAAAGGGTGGATTTGCAACAGTATATTCTGCTACTTGGTTTGATCGAAAACGAGAAATGAATGCGACTGTCGCACTTAAATTACTTCATGGATCCAAAAATTCTCATAAAGAGTTTATAAACGAGGTATTTATTTAAGCATTTTTTAATGATTTATTATCAATGATTGTAATATATTGTTCTTTTGAATATAAGTTAAAGGCATACTGTGATATTGGTCTTAAAAATCCGACCTTCTTAAAATGTTTCGGCATATCAAAGGAAGATGCATCCAAAAATTATATCCTTGTTATGAAATATGCACAATTTGGTTCTTTGCGTAGCAAACTTTATCCTATATCACAAATGGAATGGAGAGATAAATTGGTTCTGTTAAAAAGTATAGCTTCTGATCTTCAAATAATTCATTCCAATAATCTTATTCATCGTGATTTACATAGTGGAAATATACTGCTGGATAGTTTCCATAGTGCACACATTGCAGACTTAGGATTTTCAATGTTAAATAATATAGGATCAAATAATCAAATATATGGTATAGTTCCATATATAGCACCTGAGGTATTATATAATAAGGAATATAGTATGGCGTCTGATGTGTATTCTTTTGGCATTATAACGTATGAAATAGTATCAGGCCATCAAGCATACTATGGGATTCCGCATGATATCCAATTGCAAAATAAAATTTATAATGGTTTACGTCCAAGCATTCCAGGGAACGTGCCAATATTAATTGCTGAATTGATTATTAAATGCTGGGACCCTCATCCAGGCAAAAGATTAAATTCTAAAGAAATATACGACACCATAAACATATGGAATAATGAAATTATTAACAATGAATTTACAGAATTAGCTGCTCAAATAAAGAAGGCTGATGAAATGCTTATGAATGATCTTTCAATGTCTTCATCATCATCTTTCGAAAAAATACACCCTGAAGCAATTTATTTCAGCAGACCACTCAATACTTTAAATATTGTAAGAAATTACCTAGGTAATAATTGCTATCTCTATCCAATTTCAATTTTTATAACCATTAAGCATTCCTAATTTTTATGATATTAATTAAAAGGTAGCCAGAAAGAGCAAAGGAACAGCGAAACTTTACTAATTATCCCATACGATGATATAATTGAAGTTGATAAAGATACATATGAATCAGTAATTAATTATCAAGAATCCTCCGTGATTGGTAATGCCGATGAAACGTTTGAACTTGGTAATAATTACAAAAATGGTATTGGTGTTGAAAAAAATGAACAAAAGGCATTCTTACACTATCAAAAATCTGCGGAAATGGGACATGCTGGTGGAATGTATCAAGTCGCTATTTGCTATGAAAAGGGAATTGGGGTTGATAAAGATGAGAATAAGGCTTTCGTTTATTATCAAAAATCTGCAGAGATGGGGAGTGCCGAAGGAATGTGTAGCGTTGGTTATTGTTATAGCGATGGCATTGGTGTTGAAAAAGATGAAAATAAAGCATTCATTTTTTTTCAAAAATCTGCCGAAATTGGGAATTCGTCTGGCTTATATGATCTTGGTAATTGCTATGAGGATGGAATTGGAGTTGAAAAAGATGAATATAAGGCGTTTATACATTATCGAAAATCTGCAGAGATGAATGATTCTAATGGAATGACTGCACTTGGTAATTGTTACCTTAATGGAATTGGTGTTGAAGAAGATGAACATAAGGCCTTCATTAATTATCAAAAGTCTGCTAAGTTGAGGAATGTGTATGGAGCGTTGAAACTTGGTTACTGTTATCTAAATGGATATGGAGTTGTAAAAGATGAATCTAAAGCCTTTACCTCTTTTAAAAAATCTGCTGAGATGGGAAATGCTGATGGGATGTTTCAAGTTGGTATTTGTTATAATGATGGAATCGGGGTTGAAAGGGATGAATATCAGGCATTCATTCATTATCAAAAATCTGCAGAAATGGGGCATGCAGATGCAACGTATAACCTCGGTATTTGTTATGATAATGGTATTGGAGTTGAGGTGGATAAAAATAATGCATTTATTTATTATCAGAAGTCAGCAGAAATGGGAAATCCTGACGGAATATCTCAAGTTTACTATCATTATGAAAATGAAATTGAAAGTAAAAAGAATTCTTGACCAACATAAAATTAATATATGATATGACTCGTAATGCTTGCGGCTTTTCTAATATTTTATGATATTTGTAATAAAATATTTTGACTATAAAGTAGTAATCATAACTCAGTAATTTGTTTATTTGTCTAAAAGAAATGAACAATAATTAAATAATTTGACCAAGAATCTAATTTGACAAACTTTTTTTGTTTATCAAAAGAATATATAGTCTTAATAACAATAGCAAGTTTTCCTAAGTGCATCCTCTATAAGTGCATGCACTCCCTAAATACATATTTTGCAAATTTAACATTTCAAAATTTTCTTATGTATAATAGGTACATACTAAATTTAATATACGAATGATGATAGGATAAATAAACTTATGTTGAAGTTGAAAATTATACTTATTTTTAATATAAACTTCGGGGTTTGCTTTTTTTTTTTAGAATTATTAACGTTAATAAAAGGGTATAGGTAAATTTGATGGGCCTGCCCATTCAAATAGTCTATATAGTAACAGCATATGAATGTACAGAATGAATTTTTGATTCTAATTTTTTCCAAAAAATCTAACATTTCTTCGTTAAATATGTTGAAAATATAAGTTTTATAAACTTGTAACTATTCGCACATAGCTCTCACGTTTGTGCCAGAATTTGCGATAAAACCATTATGTTTTATTGCAAGTATGGGATGGATACATAGTCTGGACGTATCTCTCGGAAGATAACGTGTGTGTCACAGGATAGATGCGGCAGCATAAATCAAGATCTACGTCGATTTAGATGATTGTCATTCTTTTCCGTAGACTTTTCGAAAATGAAACATATTCGTCTTATTAATGGTAAATATTCGTATTTTGTGCGAAACATTGCTAGATTGTCTCGGTAAATTCTGATAAAAAATAATCATATGGAATGCTATTTGATATGATCTTTCTAAGGGGCCCAATTATTTATTTCACTTTCCTTATTTTACAATGGCGATAATTCTTGATTTATCATTCTCAACAGTACAAATCCAAACGAAGAAAAAATTATCTTACCGAACGGAAAGACTGCCAATGGTAGAAGCTTTATAATTTTTCTTATAAATTAGATTTGTATTTTCCATTCAAAGTACTAATGATATCTTATGTACATAGTTTATAACGGTCTTTTTATCAACAACGAGTTCGTTGATTCTGTAGACCATAAACTGTTTGAGACCATCAATCCTACAACAGGAAAAGCCATCACTTCAGTAGCTGAAGCGTCGGAAAAAGATGTTGACATCGCTGTTGAAGCTGCTACAAATGCCTTTAATGATGTGTGGTGTCATGTGGATGGCAAGGAGCGTGGAAAGTTGATCAATAAACTCGCAAATCTAATGGAACGCGATCTTGAGGAATTGGCTGCACTTGAAGCTTTAGATAATGGGAAAACTTTTCGTTCTGCAAAAGCCAACGATCTTCCAAGTGCAATTTCATGTTATAGATACTTTGCTGGATGGTGTGACAAGATTCATGGCAAGGTTGCTAACTTTAACATTCCAATGATATTAATTAAATACCGTATTCATTCATTTTATCTTAGGTTATTGAGACCCAACATGACAAGTTTTGTTATACTCGTCATGAACCTTTTGGTGTTTGCGGTGCAATTATTCCTTGGAATTATCCCCTTGAAATGCAAGCGTGGAAAATGGCCCCAGCTTTAGCATGCGGTATAAATATTACATAAAAATATTTTGTCTTTATTATTTTCTAATTTTTTTCTTTTATTTATAGGAAATACTATTGTTCTCAAGTCATCTGAACTAACTCCTTTGACGGCCTTAAAAGTTGCTGCGCTATGTAAAGAAGCCGGGTTTCCAAAGGGTGTCGTGAATGTTCTGTCCGGTTTTGGTCCTGTTGCCGGTGCTGCTATCGCTTCTCATATGGGAATAGATAAAATATCTTTTACTGGTATGCCTGAACTATAGATGATGGTAGAATTGATTTCGAAAATTATTATAATTACCACATATACCGTAATCCTAGTGTTGTATAATGACGTATTGCTGTGAATGAGATTAAAAAAAAAAGGATAGCTCCTACTAAGGCCAAATCAAAATGATTTACCGGTTTACATTATACATTTTTCTTCCTGAAGAAAGGAAGGTGTTTACATAATAGGAATTTTAATTTTTTTCAAAAATTTTCCACATTTATTCAAGAAATTCTTAAATACTTTGTTCATAGCTAAGTTAAAGAGAAATTAGTTTCGGGTTCCTATTTAGATTTATCAGTAATATTATGAAAATAATTTTTATTTACTCATCAGTATTTCTCAAAGAATTTTTATGAAACGTCAACTGCAATTACTAGATTACTACAATACGTCAATATAGCATTACTGCAATATGGCATATAGCTTTGCGGCAGTGCTTTTATCGGATGCCGTAATCCAGTAATTCTACCATTAACTATAGCCTGAATTGACCATTTCATCTGAAATGTTTAGCAAAATTAACTTTTTTAATTTTTCTTTAAGGTTCAACCGCTGTAGGAAAGTCTATATTGAAAGCTTCTGCTGATAGTAACTTGAAAAATGTATCTTTAGAGTTAGGGGGAAAATCTCCTAGCATTGTGTTTGCAGATTCTGATCTTGATCAAGCTGTCAAATGGGCTCATATGGGCGTATTCTACGATAGTGGTAAAAATTGTTGGCTTGATAAAATAACCTTGATCGCCATGCCGTTCACCACCCATCAGTAATGTAGCACCTTCTTTCTTGCCAGTATCAATATAAGACATAATTCTAAATTGACATTAAATTAATAAACCACATAGACAATCAAATAGTTAAATAAAATCATAAAATACTTGTTAAATTGCTGCAGAGAAATTTGAGGGCCTTGATAAGTATCTTTATGAAAAGGATCCCCAATTTTAATGTTCAGAGCATGCTCTTGAAATTTATTAATAAATTCATCATAAATAGAATCTTCAACATAAACACGAGAACCAGCGCAACAACATTGACCACTATCGTAGAATACGCCCATATGAGCCCATTTGACAGCTTGATCAAGATCAGAATCTGCAAACACAATGCTAGGAGATTTTCCCCCTAACTCTAAAGATACATTTTTCAAGTTACTATCAGCAGAAGCTTTCAATATAGACTTTCCTACAGCGGTTGAACCTTAAAGAAAAATTAAAAAAGTTAATTTTGCTAAACATTTCAGATGAAATGGTCAATTCAGGCTATAGTTAATGGTAGAATTACTGGATTACGGCATCCGATAAAAGCACTGCCGCAAAGCTATATGCCATATTGCAGTAATGCTATATTGACGTATTGTAGTAATCTAGTAATTGCAGTTGACGTTTCATAAAAATTCTTTGAGAAATACTGATGAGTAAATAAAAATTATTTTCATAATATTACTGATAAATCTAAATAGGAACCCGAAACTAATTTCTCTTTAACTTAGCTATGAACAAAGTATTTAAGAATTTCTTGAATAAATGTGGAAAATTTTTGAAAAAAATTAAAATTCCTATTATGTAAACACCTTCCTTTCTTCAGGAAGAAAAATGTATAATGTAAACCGGTAAATCATTTTGATTTGGCCTTAGTAGGAGCTATCCTTTTTTTTTTAATCTCATTCACAGCAATACGTCATTATACAACACTAGGATTACGGTATATGTGGTAATTATAATAATTTTCGAAATCAATTCTACCATCATCTATAGTTCAGGCATACCAGTAAAAGATATTTTATCTATTCCCATATGAGAAGCGATAGCAGCACCGGCAACAGGACCAAAACCGGACAGAACATTCACGACACCCTTTGGAAACCCGGCTTCTTTACATAGCGCAGCAACTTTTAAGGCCGTCAAAGGAGTTAGTTCAGATGACTTGAGAACAATAGTATTTCCTATAAATAAAAGAAAAAAATTAGAAAATAATAAAGACAAAATATTTTTATGTAATATTTATACCGCATGCTAAAGCTGGGGCCATTTTCCACGCTTGCATTTCAAGGGGATAATTCCAAGGAATAATTGCACCGCAAACACCAAAAGGTTCATGACGAGTATAACAAAACTTGTCATGTTGGGTCTCAATAACCTAAGATAAAATGAATGAATACGGTATTTAATTAATATCATTGGAATGTTAAAGTTAGCAACCTTGCCATGAATCTTGTCACACCATCCAGCAAAGTATCTATAACATGAAATTGCACTTGGAAGATCGTTGGCTTTTGCAGAACGAAAAGTTTTCCCATTATCTAAAGCTTCAAGTGCAGCCAATTCCTCAAGATCGCGTTCCATTAGATTTGCGAGTTTATTGATCAACTTTCCACGCTCCTTGCCATCCACATGACACCACACATCATTAAAGGCATTTGTAGCAGCTTCAACAGCGATGTCAACATCTTTTTCCGACGCTTCAGCTACTGAAGTGATGGCTTTTCCTGTTGTAGGATTGATGGTCTCAAACAGTTTATGGTCTACAGAATCAACGAACTCGTTGTTGATAAAAAGACCGTTATAAACTATGTACATAAGATATCATTAGTACTTTGAATGGAAAATACAAATCTAATTTATAAGAAAAATTATAAAGCTTCTACCATTGGCAGTCTTTCCGTTCGGTAAGATAATTTTTTCTTCGTTTGGATTTGTACTGTTGAGAATGATAAATCAAGAATTATCGCCATTGTAAAATAAGGAAAGTGAAATAAATAATTGGGCCCCTTAGAAAGATCATATCAAATAGCATTCCATATGATTATTTTTTATCAGAATTTACCGAGACAATCTAGCAATGTTTCGCACAAAATACGAATATTTACCATTAATAAGACGAATATGTTTCATTTTCGAAAAGTCTACGGAAAAGAATGACAATCATCTAAATCGACGTAGATCTTGATTTATGCTGCCGCATCTATCCTGTGACACACACGTTATCTTCCGAGAGATACGTCCAGACTATGTATCCATCCCATACTTGCAATAAAACATAATGGTTTTATCGCAAATTCTGGCACAAACGTGAGAGCTATGTGCGAATAGTTACAAGTTTATAAAACTTATATTTTCAACATATTTAACGAAGAAATGTTAGATTTTTTGGAAAAAATTAGAATCAAAAATTCATTCTGTACATTCATATGCTGTTACTATATAGACTATTTGAATGGGCAGGCCCATCAAATTTACCTATACCCTTTTATTAACGTTAATAATTCTAAAAAAAAAAAGCAAACCCCGAAGTTTATATTAAAAATAAGTATAATTTTCAACTTCAACATAAGTTTATTTATCCTATCATCATTCGTATATTAAATTTAGTATGTACCTATTATACATAAGAAAATTTTGAAATGTTAAATTTGCAAAATATGTATTTAGGGAGTGCATGCACTTATAGAGGATGCACTTAGGAAAACTTGCTATTGTTATTAAGACTATATATTCTTTTGATAAACAAAAAAAGTTTGTCAAATTAGATTCTTGGTCAAATTATTTAATTATTGTTCATTTCTTTTAGACAAATAAACAAATTACTGAGTTATGATTACTACTTTATAGTCAAAATATTTTATTACAAATATCATAAAATATTAGAAAAGCCGCAAGCATTACGAGTCATATCATATATTAATTTTATGTTGGTCAAGAATTCTTTTTACTTTCAATTTCATTTTCATAATGATAGTAAACTTGAGATATTCCGTCAGGATTTCCCATTTCTGCTGACTTCTGATAATAAATAAATGCATTATTTTTATCCACCTCAACTCCAATACCATTATCATAACAAATACCGAGGTTATACGTTGCATCTGCATGCCCCATTTCTGCAGATTTTTGATAATGAATGAATGCCTGATATTCATCCCTTTCAACCCCGATTCCATCATTATAACAAATACCAACTTGAAACATCCCATCAGCATTTCCCATCTCAGCAGATTTTTTAAAAGAGGTAAAGGCTTTAGATTCATCTTTTACAACTCCATATCCATTTAGATAACAGTAACCAAGTTTCAACGCTCCATACACATTCCTCAACTTAGCAGACTTTTGATAATTAATGAAGGCCTTATGTTCATCTTCTTCAACACCAATTCCATTAAGGTAACAATTACCAAGTGCAGTCATTCCATTAGAATCATTCATCTCTGCAGATTTTCGATAATGTATAAACGCCTTATATTCATCTTTTTCAACTCCAATTCCATCCTCATAGCAATTACCAAGATCATATAAGCCAGACGAATTCCCAATTTCGGCAGATTTTTGAAAAAAAATGAATGCTTTATTTTCATCTTTTTCAACACCAATGCCATCGCTATAACAATAACCAACGCTACACATTCCTTCGGCACTCCCCATCTCTGCAGATTTTTGATAATAAACGAAAGCCTTATTCTCATCTTTATCAACCCCAATTCCCTTTTCATAGCAAATAGCGACTTGATACATTCCACCAGCATGTCCCATTTCCGCAGATTTTTGATAGTGTAAGAATGCCTTTTGTTCATTTTTTTCAACACCAATACCATTTTTGTAATTATTACCAAGTTCAAACGTTTCATCGGCATTACCAATCACGGAGGATTCTTGATAATTAATTACTGATTCATATGTATCTTTATCAACTTCAATTATATCATCGTATGGGATAATTAGTAAAGTTTCGCTGTTCCTTTGCTCTTTCTGGCTACCTTTTAATTAATATCATAAAAATTAGGAATGCTTAATGGTTATAAAAATTGAAATTGGATAGAGATAGCAATTATTACCTAGGTAATTTCTTACAATATTTAAAGTATTGAGTGGTCTGCTGAAATAAATTGCTTCAGGGTGTATTTTTTCGAAAGATGATGATGAAGACATTGAAAGATCATTCATAAGCATTTCATCAGCCTTCTTTATTTGAGCAGCTAATTCTGTAAATTCATTGTTAATAATTTCATTATTCCATATGTTTATGGTGTCGTATATTTCTTTAGAATTTAATCTTTTGCCTGGATGAGGGTCCCAGCATTTAATAATCAATTCAGCAATTAATATTGGCACGTTCCCTGGAATGCTTGGACGTAAACCATTATAAATTTTATTTTGCAATTGGATATCATGCGGAATCCCATAGTATGCTTGATGGCCTGATACTATTTCATACGTTATAATGCCAAAAGAATACACATCAGACGCCATACTATATTCCTTATTATATAATACCTCAGGTGCTATATATGGAACTATACCATATATTTGATTATTTGATCCTATATTATTTAACATTGAAAATCCTAAGTCTGCAATGTGTGCACTATGGAAACTATCCAGCAGTATATTTCCACTATGTAAATCACGATGAATAAGATTATTGGAATGAATTATTTGAAGATCAGAAGCTATACTTTTTAACAGAACCAATTTATCTCTCCATTCCATTTGTGATATAGGATAAAGTTTGCTACGCAAAGAACCAAATTGTGCATATTTCATAACAAGGATATAATTTTTGGATGCATCTTCCTTTGATATGCCGAAACATTTTAAGAAGGTCGGATTTTTAAGACCAATATCACAGTATGCCTTTAACTTATATTCAAAAGAACAATATATTACAATCATTGATAATAAATCATTAAAAAATGCTTAAATAAATACCTCGTTTATAAACTCTTTATGAGAATTTTTGGATCCATGAAGTAATTTAAGTGCGACAGTCGCATTCATTTCTCGTTTTCGATCAAACCAAGTAGCAGAATATACTGTTGCAAATCCACCCTTTCCTATCTCTTCAATATTTTTAAATTCATTATAAGGTATCCATGATAATTGGTATTCATTTTCGATCAGCATCCTTTTCAAATCATCATCAATATCGCGGTTGTCATGTACCCAATCATTTGTGACTAATAATAAAATATTAAATTACACAGTAATAAATTTCTGACTGTTAAAATTAAATAAAATTACAGTACCTTGAGTTATATTGTTTTCCCTAATTATATATTTAAATGTGAGAGTTTATTATATAATTAAACGCATTGAAAAAAATTGTTCTTACATTTGATACCAATAATCTGCTTTTTGAATGTCCATGGCTGTCCCAATCCCATTTCGGTAACAATCACCAAGGTGCGATATTCCAGTGACATCTCCCATTTCAGCAGATTGTTTATAATGTAGAAATGCCTTACGTTCATCCTTTTCAGTTCCAATTCCAAATTGATAACAATAACCAACATTACAAATTCCTTTTGCATTTCTCATTTCAGCCGATTTTTGATAATGAATGAATGCAACATCTTCATTCCTTTCAACACCAATTCCGTTACGATAATAATATCCAAGTTCATTCATTCCATCAGCATGCCCCATATCTGCAGATTTTTGAAAATGAATAAATGCTTTATGTTCGTCTTTCTCAACCCCAAACCCTTCTTCGTAACAACCTGCAAGATTATATATTCCAGAAGGATTCTCCATTTCGGCAGATTTTTTGTAATAAAAATAAGCTTTATGTTCATCCTTTTCAACTCCAATTCCGTGACGATAACAATTACCAAGTGCATTTATCCCATTAGAATCTCCCATATCAGCAGATTTTTGATAATAAATGAATGCTTTATGTTCATCCTTTTCAACTCCAATTCCGTGACGATAACAGTTACCAAGTGCATTTATCCCATCACAATCATCCATATCAGCAGATTTTTGATAATAAATGAATGCCTTTTGTTTGTCTTTTTCAGTACCAATACCCTCCTCAAAACAACAACCAAGTCTAAATTCCCCGCCTTTATTTCCCATCTCAACGAATTTTTGATAATAAAAGAATGCTTTATGTTCATCCTTTTCAACACCACTTCCGTATTTATAACAATCACCAAGGCTTAATACAGCATCTGAATGCCCCATTTCAGCAGATTTTTGATAATAAATGAATGCCTTGTTTTCATCTTTTTTAACCCCAATTCCATTATGATAACAATGCCCAAGATTGTTCATTCCACCGGCATGTTCCATATCGGCAGATTTCTGATAATAAGTGAATGCTTTATTTTTATTCATTTCAACCCCAATTCCATCATCATAATAAATTCCGACTTGAAACATTCCATCAGCATTTCCCATCTCAGAAGATTTTTGATAATAAAAGAATGCTCTATGTTCATCAATTTCAACACCAATTCCATCTTCATAACAACAGCCAACCATATACATTCCATCAGCACTTCCCATCTCTGCAGATTTTTGATAATGAAAGAATGCCTTATGTTTATCAATTTCAACTCCAATTCCATCTTCATAACAACAAGCAACCATATACATTCCATCAGCAAGCCCCATTTCAGCAGATTTTTGATAATAAATGAATGCCATATATTCATTTTTTTCTATTCCGATTCCATTTTGATAACATTGTCCGAGATTAAATACACCATTTGCGTTTTCCAACTCTGTAGATTTTTGATAAAAAATGAATGCCTTATTTTCATCAATTTCAACACCAATTCCATCTTCATAACAACAACCAACCATATATATTCCATCAGCAAGACCCATCTCAGCCGATTTTTGATAATAAATGAATGCCATATTTTCATCCTTTTCAACACCGATTCCGTCTTCATAGCAAATAGCGACTTGATACATTCCACTAGCATGACCCATTTCCGCAGACTTTTGATAATAAAAAAAATGCCACATCTTCATCTTTTTCAACACCAACTCCATTTAGATAACATTTTCCTAGGTTAAAAATTCCACTTGCATCTTCCATGTTAGCAGACTTTTGATAGCAGTTAAATGTTATACTTTCATTTTTTTCCACCCATTTACCAAAAAGATAACAGATTGCAAGTATGTTTTGGAGCGTAGGATTGGATTGATACTCAAAGCACCAATTTATTATATTATCTGGGTTTAGATTCTTTTTTATTAAGAATTGTTCTATTATGTCAAGAATTGATTTTGTATCTTCACTTTTCTTGCATTTTTCATTATACAAATCGCACAATTCCTTAACGATCGCATAAGAAAGTAATTTATTATTAACATTGCTATTGATTTTATTAAGGTTTTCTGATGGACTAGTGGCTTTTTCAGATTGTTTTGCAAACGGGTTGTTGTAAATGTTTTCCATGACTTTTTCTTTATTTGACATTTTTAACGACAAGGAAATTGATTTATTGGAATATCAGATATGTACATGAGTACGTACTACATAATAGTCACACGAATTTTATGATACTCCTTTTTCATATTCATTTATTTGTTAAAAATAAATGTGGTAGCTGAAACTGAAATCTGGGCCTATTTTTATATGAAAATTTAAAAAAAAAATTTGGGGTGTTTTTTTTCGCTTTTTTTAGGATTTAGGGTTATAATTGATAATTAATTGATAATTAAAAGTACACATGACCTTCATTAATATCAACCTACGTTAAGTCACAAGATAAATTTTTATAAATTTTTATATATCAAAATTCCCTCATATATATCAACTTTGC